CAGGGCGCGGGACACCTGTCCATCGCACGCCCCCACAAACACACGCGCACTCGCGCCAGCGCCCCCCTTCCCAGCAGCCCATTGGCCTCCGGACCGCGGAAGAAAACCAGAGCAGCCGGCGGGAGCCCAAGCAAGCGCAGGGAGAACGTGCAAGGTCCACGCAGACAGCACTTCCAGGCCGGAATTGAACCCGGAGCCCCAGCGCTGTGAGGCTAAAGCAACGCTGTGCCACCGAGCCGCCCTAGCTGCAACCATTTCAGAAGGGCTACGACAGAGCCCGTCCTTCGGCCCGAGAATTCTGCACAAGACAAGACGACTTCGTTCTCCGTGAGATGCCACGATACGGACGCACGCCTCAGTAACTTCCTCAGTGAATTACAGCACAAGACCTGATTCCCAGGGAGTCCAGATCATAGTCAATTCTAACTGCAGCTTGTACAAACTGATCCCCCTCAGTTTCGAACTAACCAAACACGTACGACCAAAGAAGGCCCCAGGTTAGCGGAGCTTCTCTGGTTTCCAGTGGGGTTCAGGATCGATTCTAAACTACTAGTGGTGGACTCTTCAGCTCCTGGGTCCAGGAATATGGCACAATTTGCAGGGGCACGTTCTAGGGGGACAGTTTTTTCAAGACACATGTTAAACATGCAGCTTTTTGAAAGTTTTTTTTTGTTTTGTCATTCTTGTTGTGTATATAATTCTGCTTCTTTTTTTTATTTTTGTACCGTACCTTTACATACAGGACTTCAGAAAAATTCGTACTAATTGTCTTTCTTAGAATTGTCATTTTATCATTTCATCCAAGTAAAGAGTTTTAAAACCTGGGGTTTTCCAAAGGGCAACAAATTCAATAAAGATTGCTTGATTGTCACAATGGACAGTATAGTAAGAGTACAGCAAACGGTCAACAGGAGCTGCAGTCCAGTACAGGAGAACAGTCCTGTTACAATAGGAGCTACAGTCCCAGTACAGTAGAACAGTCCTGTTACAATAGGAGCTACAGTCCCAGTACAGTAGAACAGTC